CTGTTAGTTCAATTCTGAGTATCTGTTAGTTTAACTCTGAGTAAATGTTAGTTCAACTCTGAGTAACTGTTATTTTAACTTTGAGTATCTCTTAGTTTAACTCTGAGTAAATGTTAGTTCAACTCTGAGTAACTGTTATTTTAACTTTGAGTATCTCTTAGTTTTACTCTGAGTAACTGTTAGTTTTACTCTGAGTAACTGTTAGTTTAGTTCAAGTCTGGGTAACTGTTAGTTAGACTCTGAGTAACTGTTAGTTCAACTCTGAGTAACTGTTAGTTTAACTCTAACTGTTAGTTTAGTTCAAGTCTGAGTAACTGTTAGTTTAACTCTGAGTAACTGTTAGCTTAACTCTGAGTAACAGTTTATTTCTGAGTAACTGTTAGTTCAACTCTGAGTAACTGTTAGTTTAACTCTGAGTAACTGTTCGTTCAACTCTGAGTAACTGTTAGTTTAACTCTGAGTAATTGTTACATCATCTCTGAATAACTGTTAGTTCAACTCTGAGTAACTGTCAGTTCAACTCTGAATAACTGTCAGTTCAACTCTGAGTAACTGTTATTTTAACTCTGAGTATGTCGTAGTTTAACTCTGTGTTACTGGTAGTTTAACTCTGAGTAACTGTTAGCTCAACTCTGAGAAACGTACCCTAGAATGGCACATGGCAGCAGGAAGCCCAGGACCATGGTGATGATCTTAAAGTGAGCGTATCTGGGGCTGACGGGGTATTTCTCCAGACACAGCAGTCGGTCGGAGTCGAACACAGACGGCAGCAGCCCGCTCAGGCAGAACAGGAAGGTCAGGATCCACACAGCGACGCCCAACACCGCCGCCACCCTGACGCTGCGCACGCTGCGGCTGCTGAGCGGGTAAACGATAGCCAGGTAGCGGTCCATCGCTATCAGGCAGAGGAACATTACGCTGGCGTAGACGTTCACGTAAAACGCGTAACCGACCAGCTCACAGGTCAGCCGTCCGTGGGGCCAGCGGTGTGCGCCCTGGAGGTACAGGATCCACAGCGGCAGGGTGAGCAGCTGGAGGAGGTCCGACAGCAGCAAGTTGAGGATGTAGACGAGCTGACAGCCTCCCCCACCGGACCGACCCAGGTGGTACAACCCCCATAAAGACAGCAGGTTGCTGGGAAGACCCAAAGTGAAGATGATGCCGTAGATACAGGTCAACCCGAACGTGTCGGTGTCCAGAGGGAGGTTGCAGGTGTCGTTGGACATGTTGGTTAAACACCTGACCATGGGAACCTGGAGACGGTGGCATTCATTCAGTCAAAGTGTTGAAATCATGCACCCAGTTTTCTTTTATTGAATCCATCTGTCTGAAAAAGCTTGGGCTCGTTCCATCAGTCTTTAAATACTTGTGGATTCATCTTTGTGAACAAACAGCTGCAGAATAGACAGAACATTGCAGACAACTTAATGATCGACAACACCTGCACAAAGACTTAAAACTATATAATCAAACCCGAGGCATTCCACTCACCTCTCAAGGCTTCAAGTCTGAGTCGAGTTCGCAGAAAAGTGCGGCGTCTCCTGCAAGACCTGTGACATGTGCTCAAGAAATGCTGGGAACACAGCGTCTCACCCAAGCCTGGTCTATTCTGTGATCATTTCCTCAACAGGAAACTCACTTCTTCAGTTTTAAAGGCAACATCCTGAGGCAGGAGAACGCCTTTCTGTTTCAGAACAATAACACACTCTCCCTTTTTCTGTGCCACCCTGCAGTGGCTGAATGATTAAGGATGGACAGTATGTGAGGCGATGAATTATTATACCCTGGTATAATCTACATATTACATGTCTTTACATTTAAAATGTACTCATGTTTACTAATTTACTAGACCTGCTTTTGAGAACACATGAGCAGTTTTCTGAATATGGAATAATTTGTATATTCGGAGTCCAGGACCAGGGACTAAAATGTTATTTTTGCTACAGTGGGTGGCACGGCAGAGCAGTCAGCAATCTGGAACGTCAAAATGAAAACAAGACATTAAAGTTTTTTGTGCCTTTTTGATTAGCAGAGACCCACAATATGTCAGTGACAGAGGCTTGTGACCCCCAAATATTACTGGTCTGAGTGCTCAAACGTTGTCAATAACCCTTACAAACAATCCAAATCGCATTAAAAGCAAAATTATTTTTCCTTTTTATGGTTATGTATTTTTGTACTAATTTTTGGAAAAGTACCAATCTTTTACCTTTGGTTTGATTTCTGGTGATTATCCAAGGATCCCAACTTGATGCTTCCTGACCCACAGTTGAGAGCCAACTTTGGGAACCACTGCTCTAGACAACCTTTCATCTGAACATTCCTGAAGTCACATACGTCAAAAATTTGCTTTAGGAACAGCTTTTTCTGCTACAATACTAACACTGAATCCCTGTATAATCCATGCCGATTGTACAATCATTTGAGAGAGCGGCAGATAAATAACGTGTAAAGTGGAAGACCGCCATTTAAGGTTCTGAAAACCCAGAGTTCCTCTGTACGTCTGAGGTCTGACAGGGTTTTGTTGGGAAAAAACTTAAAATTTGGGATTTTTCAGGGCTTTGTGGTTTCAGATAACATTAAATATCAACCTGAAAGGCTAATAAATGTATGGTACCAATGGTGAAACACAACAAAGATATCTGAGAGTGCTTTCTGAACCCATCTGATTTAAAGTTGACAAGATTTCCATTACACAAACAGAAAAGAAAAACTTCTAAACAAAGCAGTTTAACTGTAAAATAAGACACAAAATACAATTTACCTCCAAAAGGGGCTTTATTAAATCAGTTCACAAACATTACATGAAAATTTTATTGCGGGTAACTTTTCTCAGGCACCAGAGGGAGGAGAAATATTTTAGACAATTGAAATTCTTTGAGTAAAGAATAGCTGTGTTCAGAGAATACGTGTATTTTTACCACATGATTTCAAAGGGAGGGGGTCATTTAGGTTGTTTCATTTAAATGTCACAAATCTGATTTATTACGTTGATAACTAATAAATTGAAAGTCCCCTGAGATTTTATTTCTTTGCTGCTCATGTCCCTGTGTGACCCTGTAAGAGAAAGTTTAAACATGTCTACTTCAACAAGAAGTAAACTGCAGTGGAAAACGTCCCTGGAGACAGTCAGGACGGCAGCAGCGAGACAAACTGTCCCACAACAGTCTGCTCAAGTTTTACAAGTTGCTCTGCCAGGATTCAGTCAAGTCATGTCAAAGAGTTGTGAAGAAAGAGTTCACAGGTGAGTTATTTTGGGTTCTTATGGGAAAGATCAATAAAACAACACGGGTGTCCTGGAGTATCTGAAACTGAGACGTCAATTATAAACATTTTTTTATCCTTTACTTTTCATTTTTCTGGTTTGGTTGTCTGTGTCCACAATACTATTTCACAACAGGCTTTACTTTTTAAATACAAAAAATTAAGCAAAAATGTTGGTAAAATGCACTTCATATTAATAGTTGTTAAATTATGTGTACTTGTGGAACTATGTTAGACAGTTATTCTGCTTTCATCTTCTTCCTGAACCTCCGGCAGCAGAGACACCTACAGACCAGGACTGAAACCCAGATCAAGGTTCCAGTTAAGACCATAAATAAAGCAGCCACATCCAGACAGAAGTAGGTATACCAAGGCAGGCTGAACCCTGCAGACCTCAGGTGAGCTGCTCCTTTGTTCCTGATGACGTACTCGATCCAGAAGATAGCTGTGTCTAAGGGAGACACTGGTTGGTCGCGGTGTAGTTGAGAGAGATGCTGGATGTTCTTGAGGTAAGATGGATTCTCTAAGAGGTCCTTTAGAGCCTCCAGGAAGTTCTCTGTGGTCAGGGATCTGAGCTCCACCACCCGAGCTGCTCCACGCACCTTCAGTCTGAGGACATTGTCAAACTGATCAAAAAGGAGGGGCATACCCAGAACAGGAACACCGTGATAGATGGCTTCATATAGGCCATTGGTCCCTCCATGGGCGACAAAGACACGGGTCTTGGGGTGTCCCAGGAGGTCATTTTGGGGCAGCCATTTCACTAGCAGGGTGTTATTTCCCAGAGACGAAGGCTTTTGATCCACAATCCGCCAAATCACTTTCTGCGGGAGCTGAGCAAAAGCAGCAGCGATAGCCTCGGTGATCTCAGGAGACAGAGCCGACACCAGTGTCCCCAGAGACATGACAATCACCCCGTGTTCCCCAGAACTCTGCATGAAAGCCTCCAAATCAGCAGGGAGGGGTTTGGCCTCTTTGCACTGGAACCCTCCAATGTAGACCACATTGGGCATGGTGGGCCGAGGGAACTCGAAAACAAAATCAGTCCTGAACAACCAGATATCTGCTGAAAGCTCTAAAGACAACAAGTCAGTACCAGGAGGGAAGTGTCTCTGGAACATCTCTGAGAAGGTCGGGTTAATGATGAAGTGCTGCTCATAAACACTGTAAATGTAGTGTAACAAATTTTTTGTACGATCTAAAAAATCCATGTGATCATGAAGTTCACTTCCTGGTAAAGGAAGGTAAGAGACAGGAGAAGGAGCTATGGTGAAATGACCCTCTCCGTTATTAATCCAGCGGACATTAAATACCATTGGAAGCTTCAGGTAACCACCAACTATAACTCCTAAAACCAGAGCAGGGTCTGTCAACATTAAGTCAAACTTAGAATCTTGTAATTTCTTCATTAACGTGGAGTTGTTCAAAATTTGTTCAGCTGCCATGGCAAGACCCTTATTAGCTTCTTCCATCATGGATACCATCAAATGCTGTTGGCAAAACGAGCGTAGAAATGCAGGATAACCACGGCAATCCATTACGTCCTGCATGAGATTAATGAATATGTTTTTGTCGTTGCCAGATTCAATCATTGGAATATCTATAGAGGTGTAGATGGTGGAGTTGCTGGAGATGTACCAGCTGTCAGCAGAACGCAGAACCGTGAGCTGGTGACCCCTGGAGTGAAGCTCTTGAAGGATGATTTTCATGTTGATCCAATGGCTGCCATCAACAGGAAACACCAGAATGTTACTACCTCTGCAGTGAGAAGGTTGCAGTAACAAAAAGCAGAGGACCAGCAGATTTACAAGAGTTTTGGTAGACATTTCCTGTCAGAAAAAACAACAAGGAGAAATTAAAAACACAATCTTTTTTAACATTTAAACCTCCTGCACACCTCCATTTTTAACTGATAAACGTAATGAACCAAATTTCCAAATCTAGGACGATTTTTTGACAAATTATACAGCCATATGCCCCAGAATCAATGTTCCCTAGAACCTATGCTCTCCATTATCTATGTTCTCCAGAACCTATGTTCAGTACCAGTGTATGTTTCCCAGTATCTGTGTTGCCTGGTACATTGGTAACCCAGTATCTGTATTTCCTACAACCCCTGGCAAAAAGTATGGAATCACCAGTCTTGGATGAGCACTCATTCAGACATTTCATTCTGTAAAACAAACTCAGATCAAAAACATGATACAATAATAAGGTCATTCCAAAGTGCAGCTTGTTGGCTTTCAGGAACACTCAAAGAAATGAAGAAAAAGCATTGAAGTCAGTGAATGTTACTTTTATTGACCAAGCACAGGGAAAAAAATATGGAATCACTCAATTCTGAGGAAAAAAGTATGGAATCACTCAAATTGGATGTAGAAAATGAGGACACACTCAGTCAATTTCCTTTCCCTAAATGGACACCTGCCTCAGATTAGATCTGCTCGTTAGTCTGCAGTTAAAAACACCTGCAGTCATGACACCTTGAAGTGAAGGCATTCCTTGGCGAAAGACACATTCAGTCGATGTCATGGCCTGCAGAGTCCAGATCTCAACCCAATTGAAAACCTGTGGTGGAAATTGAAAGTCCACAAGAAGCTCCGACCTGCAAAGCTGATCTGGCAACTGCCATCAAAGAGAGTTGGCACCAAATTGATGAAGAATACTGTTTGTCACTCATCAAGTCCATGCCTCAGAGACTGCA